CTAGATTGTTGCTTCTTCCATCGAAAATATCCGGCCGTGGCAATTCAAAGTTGGTCAAGGTTGATCACAATAATTTGTACCCCTGCTTGCAGTTTGATTACATGAGCATTTTGTGTGGTCGGTGGTTCTGAATATGGACAAACAGACAGATGAATTCTATTCCTACTCTTTACTGTAAAAAGCTTGGTGGCCCTGAAAAGAGCCATTTGGTTTCCAATGTTGGTGATGATTTAACCTCCGAAACCAAACAGAGTGCGTCTATGTCACTTCAAAAACGTAGATGACATCCATGGCCGCTTACGCTTGGCGTGTTTAGTGTAGGTGACAGCATCACGGATCTCATTTTTCAGTAACACCTTCAGCACACCTCGTAAATCAAACCGGAGATACGTCAGACACCGCCATGGCGAGCCAGACGACGGATGGTAGTTATCTCGAAGAATTTGCGTTAGGTTCTGAATATGGCGATGAGTGTGCAACATATTACGCAATTCCATCCTCCCTATTCGCACGCGCCCGAGGATCGAAGGCGAATGCCACTTCGACTTGTTTCGTCTACTTACTACTCTCTGACGACTGTGCTGGGGAAGCAGCATATGCATGTAGGTAATTGGTGGATTTGTTAGTTAATTCGACGCTTTTGGACAATGCTGGTTATTTACCAGTTTTTCAAAAGTTTCTTGTTGAAAATCAACATTCGGAAGCATTGTTATCAATGCGTAGCTATATTTCTGATCGATTGGTGATACAATTATTGAAATTGGACCAGGGGCAGCTGAGTTATAAACGTTCAAAATCTTTCTTAATTTGTTACATGTTCCATTTTCGGTTTTCACAAAGTGTACCCCCATATAGAAATCAAAGACGTAGTTCTACGTCAATAAAGCAGCTGCTACCCAGTATTCCTACCTGTCGTTCAAAACTTGTTGAAGCTACCTATATTTCTCATTGAGTTCAGAATCGTATATAAATTGTTATGGGATGTTGATAGTTTCATTGAAGACGGTTAAACACAAGTGTGCATATGGATAATAAAACTATTATTTCACTTTTTGACGTAAAGCTAACCCATAGCGAAAACGTTCAAAAAGCCTTCAAGTATATCTGTGAAAAATATCATATCCACGTGGAAAAGCAAACACGACTGCAGGATAAAATTTACAAACTTGTCAGTAAATACAAGGAGAAGTGGAGTTAATCTCAAAGAAAAAAAAGATAGATTTGATACAGATCATCGGAGTTGGGTCGAATCTAGTTTTGCCATCAAGGAATTCATCGAAGAAGAGCAAAACGTTCCTTCAATATCAAAACGAGGGAGACCTTCAAAGCAGTTTGATGAGCTGAGCGAAATAAGCAAGCGTCGTCTCGTCGACAACGAGGAAGTAAATCCAAAGGTGGACAGCATCGAGAAGGCCTTATTTATTGCCTATAATCGACGGGAATTTAATCTGGTGGAATGATGTCACCTGAAAAAGTATTTAGTATGTTCATTGAAGCTGGCTTAAGGAACAGTCAATACGAAGTAATACATTGAGAGACACCATCAAGATTTCCACCATACAACGTTATCGGGACATTTAAAAAAGTATGTGCCCCTCCAACTCAATACATTGAGGAAACCGCATCCAAAATAAAGGTGAAACTACAGGCTCTGTTGGAGCATACAGTCCACCGAATCATCAAAGTTATTGAGAGGAAACTCGACGAGTTTATGACTACTAATAACCGAGAATATGCAGAATTGATTCTATTGAGTAGTTTGGGCATGGATGGTTCAACCGGTTATTCCCAGTATCATCAAACACTGCCAGACGAATGTTAAGATGATTCTGATGTATTCTCATCAACACTCTCTCCAATACGGTTTATGTGGCGAATATTTCGAACAAAATTATGTGGTTTAACAGCATGCCTCAAAGCAGTCGTTTTTTTAGACCATTCATCCTGCAATTCGTGAAAGTGAGTAGAGAGATAATTCTTGCTACAAAACAAGACGTGGAGAAAGAAATGCAAGAGCTAATACCAGTGAAATTTGATCTATTAAACGGAAATACAATCTTAGTTGATTTTAAGTTTGCACTAAGTATGATTGATGGTAAGGTGTTAACATATATTTCAAGAACAACATGTGAAAAGGGCATACAAGCTTTTTGTAAACAAACCTTCTTATGCTCTTTTCTCGCCACCCATATGACACCAACGCAAACCATCAATATCACCTGATAGGAGAAGCTTTTCCCTTCCCGATGATGTTATTAGTTTGCGTAGGCAACCATCGGTTGGCGAGAAGCGGGCCTACAAAGGTTTGTTTACAAAAAGCTTGTATGCCCTTTTCACATGTGGCTCTTGATTTGTGGTAGTTCATCAATGCAGAAGTGTCCTATATGTGGGACAAATCCAAACGTAATGAACAACAAAGACACATTACAAGAAGGATTTCTATCCAACGTAGATACCCTAGTTTATGGTATATCTCCACTTCATGCATGGACTCGCTTCTTTGAATGTCTGCTGCATATTATTATTATTATTATTATTTAGCTTTATTTAGGAGGCTTTCAGCCTTAGGCTGGTTCGCCTCCAACTGCTGCATATTTCGTATCGTATGGATACAAAGCAATGGAATGTTTCACAGCCAAAAAACAAAAAAAAAGTAACGGCACAGCTTTATGAAAAATCTTGGAGTTAGAGTTGATCAACCACGATCGGGAGGAGCAGGTACGAGCACTACAGGTAACGTTTGTCAACGAGTAAACGAACGTTTACCTATGTAAAAGCGCTATGTTTTGCGTTCCGCAATATTTGAACGGACCCTTACTTGTGTTTGGATCGATGTGTTTCTTCTCGCCTTGCCATTGAATTTCTTGCTTATTCCACTTTGTGTTTCGAGTATGTACATATGGGATGGTCCATTAATTATGTCACGCAAATTTGGCCCATTTTCAACCCCCCTCCCCCTTTGTCACATTTTTTGTATGAACCTTAATTTTTTTTTATGGCTCGTCATGGTTTTCAAAAACCCCCCATCCCCCCCTAAATGTGTGACATAATTAATGGACGACCCCTATGTAGTGCCAACTTTCAACTCTAGAATAAGTGTAATCCGGAGCTTATTGCTCTTTACATGATTAAAACAAATGCATCATGGTGTTATCAACCACATTTCAACCAAAACTATGTTGAACACCTGGCTGAACATCTGCTTTAAATCATAAATCTTCGGATTATTTGCCTGCATATGCATAAGCGGCCGGGTAGACGCACCGTTTGACGTAAGTACAAACCACGTTCCTTTCTTCCATTCCTAAACATCTACAATCTAGGTATATGTCTATCCTGTGGCCTTGGATTCGCTGTACATTGCTGTTCAACCACCGAGCATCTTATTTTTAATCGTTAAATTTAATTATGAATCGCACTGGCATGTATTTGGCTACGTCTGTTGCATTGTTTTGTGTTAGTTACGTTTCGTTATCACTCGACGTTTGTCTTCTGCAGCAGTATGCATCACGTGTCGATGCATCTTTTGGCTGAATTATCGATTCATTTTCTTGAAGAAACTCCGATGTTTGGAATAAAATTTCCCATCTGATGAAGACATAATGCACCCTACATGATCGAGTCATGGTTTGTTTATTTGTGTGCATCCTGGTGTTTGCGTGAACCATACGTTATCGTCCAACTGTACGAGATAGAGTTGATTTTGTTTCTAATCTACCTTTCTACTGGTTGTGTTGCAACGTTTACGTCGTACGTCACTGCATGGTTTATTTTTATTTGAATGACATTAGAATTCTGTTCCACAGTCTGATGGACAAGGTTCGTTTGCTTTAAAGAAAGTGTTCATCAGATTTCTGTTTGACACATGACACATGTCAATTTCGCTATCAGAGATTCACAATTCAAGATCAACAATTGAAAAGGCCTCAAGTCAATTTTGTAAACAAACCTTGTAAGGTCAATTTCTCGCCAAAATCGAATAGAGGAGAATTTACCCTACCTATCCATTCTGTTGTTTTGCCTTGACGGACTTCGGTTCACGAGAAAATGGCCTTACGAGGTTTGTTTACAAAAATGAGTTGAGGCCTTTTCAATTGTTGGTCTTGAATTTTATCATCAGTGAATGTTAACTCTTCGTGAAGAGTGAATATTCACCGATTATAAAATCGCTGATTGTGACTCTCTGAATGTAACATTGACAGGATTGTACAGGTATGTCAAACACATACTTCATTCTTGTAACTAACTAGTTCAAATAACCATCATATCATCTAAAGGCTTCATAAACATTATTTTATAGCAAATGAATGTCATACAATATCAGCAACCCATTTCATGGGTATGTTTAAAAATCACAATTTCAAATTTTAAGAGTATCTTCCAAATATGGCTCTGAATTTAAACTTTTTACGCAAATGATGCTTGACCACTATATAAAGCGTTGACAGCTGTTCATTTAGCAAACTCATAAATTGAATACTAAATTATAAGTATTTGGCAGCAGGTGTCCATCACCTCATTCACAATAATCTACAAAGTTTGATGCTACCAAACACAAAGTATAAGACTGAAATTGTGATTTTCGCTCGGACGCTACTACTGACCTCTACTGACCGAAAGCGTTTTTCACCATCTGGCAATTGATTGTAGGACACAGAGAGAGAGAGAGGTGTGATTGAACTTCTATTTTGATACGAAGATCATTCACACCGACTGACCGAACGACTAGAAGAAGCACACAGCCAAAATTGAACTGAATTCAGAGCCGGTTAGAAGCTGCTCGATGGGTGGGAACATGATTTCGATGATTAATACAATGTGGTGTTAACTTGGCTTGAAGTACGAGAAAACAAACAGAAATGCCGACCGGTGGTTTGTTTTGAATTCTTATCCGGATATTTGTGTATGAAAACTTCCCAATTATAAACTTCTTTTGATTGCTCCTTCTCCCATAATAAACCCAATGTATTTTTAACTCGATATTACAATTTCTATTTCAGCATAATCGCAATGCAAGATGGCATTACTGCCCGGAACGGCTCATCCTACAGTGAATCTTACGGCAGCGGAAACATTAGCAACGGAGGAAGTACAGCCGCGCAGCTTTATCAGCAGCAACAGCATCACCATCGCCATAGCACCCCACCTGCATCGCTGTCCTCGTCTCCGGCGAAGAAGTCACCCTCGTCATCTCCTTCGCATATCTTCAGCAATGGAGCGGGCTCCATGGGCGGAGGAAGTTGCAATGGAGAGTTCAAGTTGTGTGGCTACGACGGCAACGGGGAGGATTGCGGCAGTGGCGGAACGTCACCGGCGGAAATTTTTGGAATATTGGGATTTTGGCTGAAGCTACGACACGATTTGAAATCCGTTCCCTGGAAGCAATTCAAGGAGGTCAAGATGAAGAATCCTCGTGCCGCACCTGGTTGTGCCTACATTCCGACAAAGGTTAGTAATTTCGGCTGAAATCAAAGGTTTGTTTTGTTTTCGCAGATAACAGTTATTGCGTTATCACTGGCATACTGGACTTAGTTGGAATTGGAACCTGTTCAGCTGTCGTTGTTTCCTAATCTCAGATCGACTATAAGATTTATAACATTGCATAGGGAATGGGAAGCGTATTTAAATTGTGCTCTCTTAAGGAATACCAGAGAGCTGTTATCAGTCCCAGTACATATCTACATCAATGTACCTAATCAAAAAAATTGGGATTGTTTCTGTCTTGCCCATTTTTACCTTGGTAAGTTTAGAGCTGCACACTTAGAAATAACTAATTTTACACGTGACGGAATCCATCTTTGACACAAAGGATGAGACGTAAACAAACATGTCATGTAAAATTAAGTACTCCGAGACTGAAAAGTTCGATACTCGACGAAAAGCACGTTGGATTGAACTGAAGACTCAATTTTATGTCAAAATTGACGCTCGTATATGTCAGTCTCAGAGCACCTAAATTTACATGATTTTTTCTAAGTGTGTGGTTACTTACTGATGTATGTGCGACATGCGCTCACTATGATTGCCTATGATTGTAATAAAAGAATGTTTAACTGCATGTCCACTAGGATGGGTCAACTTAGCAGCCCCTACTCCCTACAGATATTTCGATTCGTATTGAGGTCCCCAACAGCTGTGCCAAATTTGAGCAAATTTGGCTACGATCTGGATTTACGGGAGCACTTTATAAATTCATGGGAAACTGATCGAAGTTTTTCAATTGCTTATCGAAAATTTTAAAATCGCTCAATTTTTACCAAATTTGGGACTTATATTGAGAAAACTATACAGAAAAACTTCGTTGAAGACCAAAATCCATTCGACTTCTGAGCCAAAAGTTATTATTTTTTTATTTATGGCCATGGCTTGGCGCATACCTAGTGAGATGCATATAAGCTGGTAGGTATGCGCGGAGCACTAGATCTACAGTAAAAAATTAATGACTTTTGCCCAGAAGGCGAATCGATTTGTAATCTTGGACGAAGTTGTTCTATATAGTTCTCAATCTAAATATCAGGTTTTGTAAAAATTGACCAATTTTTGAAATTTTATCAAGTAAATTAATAGTTTTGTTCCGCTTCCCATACATATTCTCATACACAATTTAAAGCACTCCAAAGCAAAATGTGGTGAGCCATGGGTTGTGATCTGCCATATAAACTTGACCCATCTTAATGTACACATAATTCTTCTCCCTCTTATTGACACTGTAATATTGATAAAACTTGTCTGCAAACAGCTCGCCATAAAATTTAAAAATACTAACTACTACAATACTCATAAGATACAATCAATTTTTTTTGTTTTGGCTATCAAGCTTACGGAACTTAAATTAAAATGATTCTGCTTCATCCTGTTGACCATTGAACTTTTCTGAAGGTCTCAAAGCTTTCCTAGATTCTCTAAATTTCACTGGAGTTCTATGAACTTCCTCAAAATTTCCGAAACTTTTTTAATATTACCGTTATTTTCCTTTGGAAAAAAAGAAATGAATAACACTGAAGTTCTTGAATGGTTTTTAAAGTTCATGTAACGGCTCTTATTTTATCAAAAATAATTCTTCGAAATCTTTACACTTCCCCAAAAGTTTGGACTTTCCTGAGGTTTTTGATTGTTCTCTGAAGATAAAAGAACTTTCCTAAAATATTCTTAATTTTCTTAAAATTTTCTAAACTTGCTTAAAGAATTCTATACTTTTCTCAGAAGTTGCAGGCTGTTTCCAGAAGTTACTTGAACTATTTTGAAGTCCTTTGAAAGGAAGACCCTGAAGTTCCCTAAATTTTCCTGATGTTTTCGAACCTTTCTTGAAGCTCGCAGGACGCCTTTAAATTCTATAATGCTTCCTTGAACTTTCCTTAATGCTCCAACAATTTTTCTGATATTTATGGAACCTCACTGATGAGCCCGTAATTTTTCCGGCATTTTCGGAACATTACTAAATTTTCCGGAGTTGCCATGTTTCTTTAAAGCTTCTTTGTAGTTTGTACAACTTTCCTGAAAATAATAGACGTACTTTAAAGTTCTTGGAACATATCTGAAGATAAAGAAGCTGCCGAAGAATCTCTAAACTTTTCTGAAGTTCTTTGGACTGCCCTAAAGATCTTGGAACTTCTTGAAAATTCGTACGCTAATGTTTCCGAAATTTTACTACAGTTCTCGAAACTGCTATGAATTTATTTCATGAAACATTCCTGAAGAATCCGATTTGCTTCTGAAACTCTCGGATCTTTGCTTAAGTTTTCGATTTTTTTTTTGAGTTTCTCAGAAATTATTTGAAAGTTCTGTAATTTCATTGAAGTTAATTGAACTGCTCTGAGGTTCTTTGATCTTCTCTGATGGTCTGGGAGCGTTCCGAACGTTCACGCATCTGAAGCAGTGTCTGTTTTTAGCATTTACTATCACACGCAAGGAGTAGCGTTTCAAACCAGTGTAGATGAATAGCGTTCGTTTTGAATATCTCCGCTGTGTAATACTAGCGAAACGAACAAGTGAGTTCATTATACATCAACGAATACGCGTTTGTTGATATTTACCAGTGCTTGATTATCCAACCAAAAATTGTCAAAATCAGAAGCAATCCTCAAAAGCAAAATACTTCTTTCTTCTTCTTCGCATTTCAAGCTTATTGCATATCGCATATTAGCTTATTGCGTGCTCTCAACTTAGTGTTCTAGATGCACTTCCACAGCTATTAATTGAGAGCTTTCGATGCCTGTACCATTTTTGCATTGGTATAATTATGTGGCAAGTCCAATCATACTTCTATGCCCAGGGAAGGAGAGAAATTTTCCAACTTGAAAAATTCCTCGACCGGACCGGGAATTGAACCCAGCCACCTCCAGCATGGTCTTGCTTTGTAGCTGCGCCTTTACTGACTGAGCTAAGGGAGGCCCCTCAAAAGCAAAATAATCAAATTTATTTTGGGCAAAATGATTATTTTGAATATTGTCGACTGCGCCTAAAACCTCAATATTATCATCAATTCAGCATGAGGTAATAATTTTCCATCAATATGTTTTTAAAACCCAACACAACACGTTCTACAGCGCTATATCTGTGTAAAATGAAAATAATCATTTTGCATTTGATCCTCAAAATCATCCCTACCAAGATGACGATGAACATTGAAATTGACAATAACACAGGCGATAATAAGCATCCAGTCACGAATGGAAAAAAAAACAAAATTTGAACATTTAATGTTGACTTCGATACTCAGAGGTTGCCTTGATCAAGAGAATGTGTTTATGTCAAAATCAAATTTATGCAGGTAGTTGGTCTATCTGTTAAAGTTGTCTTCATTTTCAGTTAAGTTGAGTGTAAAAATGATTTTTATCAGCACTGAAGTGCTTCTCTGAAGATGTGAAATAAATGGAAATGTCCGAACATTTTTTGAACATCTCCGAAGTTTTCCGGACTTTCCTGAAATTTCTGCACCATTTAAATTGTTTTCGAAAAATTACTGTATTTTTCTGGATATCCCCAAATTCCCGGTACGTATAAAAGGTCATCAAAATTTTCTTGAAATTCTTAAAACTGTTCTGATTTCTCCTGAACTTATGCTCTTACGATCATTGAACCACCGACGAACCGACGTAACAGCTCATAGAAGCTACATTCAAATTCTTGCCCAAGACGCCATATTTAAAATACATTAAACACTACCGCCATCTACTCATCCGATCGCGTCTTATCGTGAGAAAGGACACAAATACATGTAAAATTTATATTGTCCTGGTTTAAGTCTCACCTCGTGTGACAGATCTGATCGCCCGTTTGATAGATCGAATCGCTCATTTGACAAATCGAATTGCGGACAAACGAAATGATCCAGATCTATAAACATTGCTGACGTTATTGGAACATTCCTTAAGACCAACAGCGAGTTTGGGATTTCTAACGAAACTAGCTTTATTAAAAGTACGAATCTATTTCGTTGCAGATAACAACGAATGGATTCGTGAAACAAAGGAACAATTTCGATGTATAAACTAAATTTTATTTTCAGTGTGATCTTTCTGAAGTTCTCACATTTCTCGTGATAATGTTCCTGTAATTACACTGAAATTGATTTAAATGTTCTAAATATCTCTGAAATGTCCTGAAATTTACGGGACTTCTTGAAGGTTCCTGCTGTTTTCCTGAATTTAAAAGCCGCTCCTAAAGTTCTTGATATTTATCTGAAATTCTTGGATTTTACCTGAAGTTGCTGCTTTTTTTCAGATATTTATGGAACTATACTGAAGTTTTCAGAACTGCCCAGCAGTTCAAGTAACTTCCTTATATCCCTAAGATCTTAAAACTTCCTTGAAATTTTGCAACTTCTGTAAAGTCCTGCAATTTTTCTAAAGTTAATACTGCTCTGAAGCTACTTCATCGTCAAACAATACATTTTCCTGAAATCTATGAATCTGTCTTGATGCTGCCGGAACTTATCCTTTAGTTAATGTAATTAAACTACTTCGAAGCTCTGGATGATCCTGAAATTCTTGGAACAACTATGATGTTTTTGGAACTTCCTTGAAATTCTCAGATCTAATATGTTACTGTCCCAATATTCACAATGTTTCTGATGTGTATGTATGCTCAAAGGTGTTTCAAAATTATCTGGTCATCCTTTAAAATATTTTTTAACAATCCTGACGCTTTCTGAACTTTCCTGAAGTTCTTGAAATTGAGCAGTTCCAGGCCAAATAGAGAAAAAAAAATAACAAATTTTAGATCTACATCTCATAGCTGCTAGTAGCAATGAACCTATTTTTGGCCGGAATTCGTCTATTTTGAATCTCATTTAGTTTTTCTAAATGTAGGGGGGAGGTAGCTCATCGATTCTTCCGGTTCGCCTCCTAGCATCGTGCTATAAGGTACCAGGCGATAACCAGGTAGTTGGTCGATATCTCGATGATGTCATTTCGTTGGCGTCTGCAATGGGAAATTCTCATAGCAGG